AGATGCTGCTTGTTCTCTTATTTTAGGAAAAGAATAAATTTAAGAGAGAGTTAACAATTACTGACAGTATAAAATGTGCAAAGAGTTCTAGTACTCAAAGGCTTAAACAAATATTTAAAATAAAGATTATCTTGAGAGGAAATATAACCTTATATTTCTATGTGTTAAAATGCAATGCTTATGAAGAACTTTAGCCAAAAAGTAAAAAAAATAAATAAAAAGAAATAAAGAAAAATATAATACACTATCATCCCTAGCAAGTCTGTTACAAAGACAATTTTAAGGCCTCTGAATTCCAGTCAAAAATTTAAAATGCACAAATATCCTTAATAAGAAGGACAAAACATTTTCAAGTTGATTATCCTATATAATAAAAGCCTAGGTGGCATCACACGTGATGTCATCACAAGATGGCCGCCCTCACGTCATCACAAGATGGCCACCACAAGATGGCCAGCAGGGGAGGGCAGTTGGGGGCAATTGGGCCAGCAGGGGAGGGCAGTTGGGGGCAATTGGGCCAGCAGAAGAGGGAGTTGGGGGAGATCAGGCCCTCAGGGAAGGGCAGTTGGGGGTGATAAGGCCAGCAGGGGCACAGTAAGGCATCAATCAGGCTGGCAGGGGAGCAGTTAAGGGGTGATCAGGCTGGCAGGCAGAGTGGTTAGGGGCAATCAGGCAGGCAGGCAGGCAAGTGGTTAGGAGCCAGCAATGACGGATTGTGAGAGGGATGCCCGACTGCTGGTTTAGGCCCAATCCCTGTGGGCCTAAACCGGCAGTCGGACATCCCCCAAGGGGTCCTAGATTGGAGAGGGTGCAGGCTGGGCTGAGGAACACACCCCCTCCCGTGCACAAATTTTGTGCACTGTGCCTCTAGTGTAAAATAAAAGTAGAAATATGCCTTATCTGTAGACAGTGTCCACAGTCAAGTACAGGAGTGTGATTCCCACCTGCTAGCCTGGGCTGAATTACTTGAGAGAACAGCCATATTAACTAATTAACGTTTAGTTGATCACTGTGAACAAAACTGATGTGTAAGCAGCCTAACTTGTGAATAACTGCTTCTAGATCTGAAAGTAGTTGAGTCCTGAAACAGACTGGCACACGCCTTCACTGGTTATGTTCCCTGGGAGTCAGGACTCAGATGTGGTTTCCTAGGTTGGTGTGGGGATGTCCTGCCATCCAGCCTCTTACACTCTGCATAGGATGGAGAGCCAAGGCTGGGTTATAAGTTACAGTCTTTTAAAACAGATACTGTTTGATCCATAACTAATCTTTTGGGACATTTGGAGATCAAGCTTAAAACATTTTGTTTTTAAGCTTTTGTGATCGGCAGTTTTTATTAATTTTAAGGTTTAAAACATATATTCCGTAAATTATTATATATAACTAGCACATATGAATTTTGAGTTCTTTGGACATCCCTTAATAAACAGCCTATTTTCATTGTTGGAAAAATGTCAGCACAAGTTGGCTGAAGACAGTACTTCATCATTTCCTGCTTCATCTCAAAATGAATCAAAGGGTACATAGAGCAAAGTTTCTGATATAAGACATGAAATAGTGAAAAACATGATTTATAGAAGTAAAGTTTAATTAAGTTAGAAAGTACCAAAATAAATGGAACAATACTTCAGAAAAAAGAAAAATAAATAAGACAAATAAAAATAAATTAAAATTTTAATTTAAGCATGTTATTTAATAACATAATAAAAATTCATTAATTTTCAATGAAACTACACTAATATTTACACTTCATTCTACTTGTGATATGTCAAATATGTATACACACATGTACACAAACAAGATTAACAAAAATTCTTCATGGTTGTGAATGAATTTAGTAATTGGTTTTCTGTTAGAAACAACATAAAAAATGGTTTCCTAAAGTTTAGGTTCTTTACCTTATGAAAATGTTGATTCATTGCTCTCCAATAATTTAAAAACTGAAAAATAATCCTCTAAACCTTAAGGCTATAAGGAGGGTAATAATATCAACTGCAACTAAAACAACAATAACACACACACACACACACCACAACAACAAAGTGTTGGTTTAAGTATATAGTCTATAACAGTGATGGCGAACCTATGACACGTGTGTCAGAGGTGACACGCAAACTCATTTTTTTGGTTGATTTTTCTTTGTTAAATGGCATTTAAATATATAAAATAAATATCAAAAATATAAATCTTTGTTTTACTATGGTTGCAAATATCAAAAAATTTCTATATGTGACACGGCACCAGAGTTAAGTTAGGGTTTTTCAAAAAGCTGACACACCGAGCTCAAAAGGTTCGCCATCACTGACCTAACACTTCATCCCATCTCCACTCCCTCAACGCTCCCTCACCCCAGATTCCTAATTCCTCGCCAGGGCCCGAAGTCACAGAGGGAACCAACAGCTTCTTCAGAGCCGTCCAGGTAGCATCACCACCTTGTAGATGGTGGGGTAGCAAGATATCTTCCATTTTAAAAGTAAGAATCATTTGGTGGGAGAGGTAGAGATTGTTTTTAGACTTAGTTAGTCCCTTTTGCTACTCAAAATAAACATCTTTGTGCTCAGTTAAAAGCTTTCCAAGATGTTCACAAGAGAAGGGGAAATTCTTGCCAAAAACTTAAGCCCAACCAGACAGGGATACTGAAATTTTGCTGCCTGTGGGAACACGTGGCCAGGCAGGACTCTGGCATGAAAACAGTAATCTGTGTTTAAACGATGGTGGCGCAGAGCTCGGGTGGTTCAGAGCTATGTTCAGGGCACACTGTGGACGGGGTCCATTCCGTTTCTAGTTTCAGTTCATAGCACACTCTTGTCTATTTACAGAACTTACAACTCGGCAAACCTTGGTACTTATGGTTGGAGGGTGCAGAGAAACACTTCTCTCACTCTTCTCACAGCTTTAGTTCTGCTTCCAATTCTCAGCAGTTGCAAAATGCTTAAGAAGATCGTAGCCCAAGAGTCCTGTCTGCAATTTTACAGGGTCATGACCTTGGGCAAGACACATAACCATCTCTGAGCTGCAGTATTCTCCAGCCATAAAACCGTAAAAATAATGCCTGTTTTCCTTTCCTTTCAAGAATGTGGTGACGGTCAAATAAAATAAATGTAAACACTTTGCACATTAAAAGGTACTATATGAACACAAGGTATTTGTAATTATCAAATGCTCCCCCCCAAACCAATTTATTTCAACAATAAACTTCTCACCTCTGCTCTTTCTTGTACCTCATCTGTTTCTGGGTCCTTTAAGCATCGTCATGGTCTTTTTTTAATCCAACATTCTCTTTGTGGTTAATAGAAACATGGACTTGTTACCAAACAGGCCAACCTGCATCTACAGATCTCTCTAGCTTTTTGGGAGGAGACCAATCTACAGCCTTTAGTAGAACCTCATTTATTTTGCAGTTATGTGCAGAGCATTTAATATGAATGGGCAGGTCCAACCTCAAGGAACACACCATCACATCTAAGCATTTCAGACCAACCAGATATATTGATCTGGTCTAGATAGGCTATGGCTGAATCTTCTCTCTCTGGCCTCTGCTCCTTGAAGTTCAGATATACCCGGACCAGTTGAAGTACAAGTTGAACTTTGATGTCCCTCAATCCTGCTTTTCTGGAGAAAGCAGGTAACTTTATCCAACTCTCTGAAATTGCTGTGCACATCCCTTTTTTGACTGGCCCCATACCCCCCTCTCTTTTTCTTATTTCACTGCTTAATTCAGTGTTGGGGTTCTGCCAGTGTGGGATTCCCTAATACACAATGGGAACAGATTTTCCCTGCATCTACATATCTTAACCATCAGGTCTGAGCACTAAGACCACCTGTGGCAACATGACTTACTACTTGCTTTAGGAAATTCACCCAGGAATATAAACTTACGGAATAAGAAGAAATTTCACTGTTTGCATCAAGAAATTCCCTCAAACTAATTTATTTCAACAATAAATTTCTCATCTGGGCAAACAGCCCTGTTCTCAGGACAATCGATTACTTATCTGGGCAAATGGTTCTCTTATTAAATAACTACTTACTTATCAGGACTTCTGCAGGAGCTTCAGAGCTGTGTCCATCAATCCCAAACTACCATATCATAACTTTTCCCAATCTTAACCTGATCCCCACTTTAAAAGACTCACACTCCAACCCCTATACATTTCTGCCTCTGACCTCCCCTCTGAGATAGTCCCAGGACTCTATTAAGGTGGCAGTCTCCCTCATTGCAGCAGGTTTAACAAACTTAGCCATGCTTGATCAACAGATCATTCTGGTGGCTTCTTGGGGAGTTTATATTTGCCAACTTTGTGCATTAATCAGCAAAGCAAGAGAAACAAGGAAAAATTTTTTTTAAATTTAACATCTGCCATTAAAACAAACAAACAAACAAACAAAAAACCTGTGTAGTCACCCTCATCTGAAAACTCAGAATTTTGTTGGAGCACCTTATTCTTATTATACGATTTGAAATAGTTCTTATTTTGGCTTAGATAGGAGGTAGTACATCATAAGTGTTTTATTGTTTGGACCTTCTAGATGGTTCCATTCAATCTTGGGTCCCTCAAAAGATCTTTTTGTCACTCACTATTCTATCCATCGTATTTCCATTTTATGTCAGAAAGTAATTAGTTGTGTTGGCTGCCAGCCGCCAGCTTGGTTGGCAGTTAATTTGCATATCTCCCTGATTAGCCAATGGGAAGCGTTTGGGGCCACGGTCAATTTGCATCTCTTTTATTAGATAGGATAATGTAGATCAGATTTTTTTTTTTGCTATTATTGTAGTCTCTCTTTTTAAAACAATTTAAATTCTTAGTGTTTAAAGTATTACACAAGTCTCCTTTTTCCCCTCATTGATCTCTCCCCGGGCACCCACACCCCCTTCTGTGTCCATTGGTTATGCTCATATGTATGCATACAAGTCCTTTGGTTGATCTCTTACTCCCTCACCCCCTGCCTTCCCTCATAGGTTGGACAGTCTGTTTGATGCTTCTATGACTCTGGTTCTATTTTTTTTTTAACAGTGTATTGCTTTATTGGGGCGGGGTTGGGAGGGGAGGCACCATGGTGAGGAACAAAATCAATGAAAGGAATACAAACTCAGGAAGCAATAATGTTAAAACAGTAGTAAACAAAATGGTTAACTGCAATCACTTTCTTAAGGGGACTCCACTCGTGGAAGAAAAACTTTAATTGCCATTGCAAAAAACATCTGAATGAAGTAGAAATTGTTTTCAATAACATTAGAGAATATGTCCTAGAAATTGTAGGTAACTGGATGTAACATCCTGGCAGCAATTTAATAGAACAGTCCCGGATGGTTAGGCTGAAGCCAACACCTAATGAGGAGGAAAGCCTTGTCTGTGGGGAATTTTGGAGGATACCTGGAGAAATATTACACTGTGCATAAACCAAATTGAATTGTTGTCATAAGTGTTGTAAAGTTTCATATAGTAAAAGTTTTTTTTCTACATGCACTTCAATTTCACAGCAAGAGTGGCATAGGATGCCTAAACACAGAAGAGAGCATTCATGCAAGATATCTAACTCCTTGATATAATAATGCATACAATTCAAAATGATTACACTATCATTACATCTAGGGCTTTCTGCAACTACAAGGTGGTGGTTATGGAAAGCATGGCCCCCGGTATCAATATCTAAAAAGCAGCCACCACCTTCTTTTATGTGTGTTTCCTTTTTGCGTTTTTTCTTCATTTTTCTTAATCAACTCTGCTGCTGTTGCTGCTTCTTAGCAAAACTGGTAAAAACAAAGTTGTAATCATTGAACATAGCACTCTGGCAATCAAGACGTTTAAAACCTTCAATCTTCTGGGGCGAAGAAAGCACTGTGCGACATTTAGAACTCTGGTTTACAAACAAGGTGGTCACAAATTTTCCTGGCTTGAAGACTTCCACAACTTTTCTGATCAGGTCATCATAGGAGGTCTGACTTAAGTTTGTTTCAAAGCTAACATAAGAAATTCTGGTTCTGGAGTGATGTGAATAGTCCAATAATTTCCATCCGATTTCATGCCATTCATCGAATACCCACAAGGATTGAACATTGTGGCATCAATGACAGAACCTGGTATCAGGTCACGAATTCCACTCTCACGAGTGACATCCTTTGCAGTAACACCATCTTTCATGTAGAACTGGTCCATAACTGCTGGGTCAAGCTCACTCATCAGAATTTCCAGGGTTTGATCTGGCTGACTGATTACCCTACTCTCTGGGAAATCCAAAGTATACAAGTACCAACAGTCAGAATTCATACGTCCCATACAATATGCTGCTCCATTTGGGAAAATTGCATTAAGAAACTCTATTTCTTCCTGGAAATTCTGGTGTGGGAACCCTTGGTGAGAAGGTTTCATGAAATTCTTAAGAGAATAAAAGAAGCTTTGAATTGAGTCAAACCCACAGTAATCCCTAGCAAGTTTCAACAGGGGAACCAGTGCTTTCAGGAAGAGGGTGGTACCACATGTCTTCAAAATGAAACGTCTCTTAGAGACAAACATGCTACTCTCACTGAGTAAATAAGCTTCCTGCTTGTCAGTTTTTGTCACACTTATGCTTGAACATTGCACATCCTTCAAAAGTATGTCCCACTTGGATCTTGGGATGGTGCGAAGATCCCCAGATCCTTGACTTGCGTCGGCTTGCTGCTTGGACAACCAAACCTCCAGTAGCTTCTCGGTCCCTTCGAAAAAATGTGCAGCTTCCATCACCGTGAGACTAGCGAACAACCAACAACCACAGAAAATCAACTAAATTAAATCTCTTCTCCCGCTGCTGCTGCGGATTGTTTCTCCCGCCGCTGCTGCGGATTGTTCCAGCTGTTTCAGGTTCCTTTTTTTTGCTACAATTTTATATTAACTTTTTTTAAAAAAAGAATTAATAAAATTTCCCCGGCTTTTGTGTGTGTGTGTGAGCGAAAAGTTGAACGTGAGTCTGTTGGAAATAGAGGCAGATACAGTAGTTCAGTCTGTAGTCCGCTGTTTCCCCGTTAGAGAGCGAGCTGTGCGATCGCTAGCTAATGTCACCAGCCATACTGTGGAAGCTTCTGGTTCTATTTTTGATCCTCAGTTTATGTTGTTCTTTATATTCCACAAATGAGTGAGATCATGTGGTATTTATCTTTCTCTGACTGGCTTATTTCGCTTAGCATAATGGTCTCCAGTTCCATCCATGATGTTGCAAATGGTAAGAATTCCTTCTTTTTTACAGCAGTGTAGTATTCCATTGTGTAGATGTACCACAGTTTTCTAATCCACTCATCTGC